GCAAGGGTCAAGGACCTGACATCTAAGAGCATGATTAATAGTACAACCAGCTGATGGCTATATGAATATTGCGATGTCTTCTATAGCCAAGCTTGTAGCCGGCAAGTATAATAGTGAGATGTAAAGATGTGCTACTTCATTGATATATGACCCACCTTCCGCTCTCACATATTGCTTAGGAGCGCGTGCTGCAATTGGCTCTTATTCTGTAGCTGGCTCCTCTTCTCTCCCCTCCACGTCAGTAGAAAAATAATATTTTAATTTTTATAGCCTGCTTACATAAGATTATTGTACTTGCTCTAAGCCCCACCTAGGGTCCCACACCATCATTGATAGGTCCTTAGACCACAAGCACATCTGGATGCGCATCACTGGAAATCCACTCATACATATCGAAGGCACTCGGACGTCTTCCATCCAGTCGGCCCAGCCACCATCACTCAGACAGAGGAGGCGTAGGGACGACGTGGGAGCTGCAATATGAAGACTTCAAGTTAGTTATGACTCCGTAGTCATGGCTGTCTTAATCTGTCTATAATTATAGACTTTAATCCCCTTTGTAACGTGCACTTAAGAGGTCGAGGCACACTCTATATAAGCCTCGCTCTGGCTTCATGACAAGGGTTCAGCATCCTCTATAATCATACACCCCAAGAGAAAACAAGCATCAGGGCACGAGACGTAGGGTTGTTACCTTCTTCGGGGCCCGAACTCATAAAAACCGAGTGCTAACTTGCACCGTAGCTAGGCTCTGCCCCTCTTTCGTACCCCCAGTACTCATTGTCAGGATCGTTGCCTCAACAATTGGCGCCCATAGTGGGGCTACGCGTCTACTGATTATACGGCGCAAGTGGTATTTTTCATCGTCATCATGTTAGTCGGCGACGAGATCCGTTTCAGGGCACCTAGCTTCATCGCCGACAACTCATCATGCCTCCGAGAAGCCCCGCTGGACGTGGAGCCACTGCCCATCCGTGGTGTTGCGCACTTCCGGGCATCTTCGTATGGAGTTCTTCTCCCACAGTCATCGGTCCCATACCAAGTGGCTCCTTTCCTTCCAACTAGCCGCCGTCGCAAGCGCTCTGGGCACTCGCGGCTCTAGCACTAGATCAAGCACGTTGTGGCCCTCCAAGCCGCGGTCGGGCAAGTGGCGGCACTCGAGCCTCACGAGCCCGCCCTTGACCTTTCCCGTGGGCTCCAGGTGGACTCCGCCGATGAGTCTGAGTGTGAGAGCATCAAGTCCACGGCCAAAGTTCTCATGTCCGGCCCTGAGCAGCACGGGCTCCCGGGTACACCGGCCCCCGTGACGGGCACGTGGGCACTTCGTGTGGGCACAATAATGACAACCAGGGGGGTGATCATTCTCCCTGACATGAACTATACGTTCCCTAGGATCTCACTCAGGAGCAGAGCGATGAGCTCAATCCAAGGAACAAGTAGGATCTGCGCAATCCCTTTACTGGGACGACTCCTGAGGCCCTGGCCATGGAGTCGGTGCGCTTGGCCACTCTGGCTGGGCGAGACCGCCTTGAGCGGCCGCAGAAGGAGTTGGAGGATCACGCTCGTCAACAACCTAGCTCCATTTTGCACAAGCTTCGGTTGTTCCCGGGTGATCAACCTCGGAACTACCAGGTGCACAACACTCCACTGCAGAACCTGGCAGTGGCTGATAACCCACAAGTATAGGGGATCAATTGTAGCCTTTCTCGATAAGTAACAACGGCGAACCCAACGAAGAGCTAAAGGTAGAACAAATATCCCCTCAAGTTCTATCGACCACGGATAGAACTCTACGCACGCTTAACATTCGCTTTACCTAGAACAAGTATGAAACTAGAAGTACTTTGTAGGTGTGATAGAATAGGTTTGTAAGATAATAAAGAACACGTAAATAAACGATAGGGATTGTTTAGATAAAGAAACAACTAAGTTAGTTTTAGTAGGGAGCTTTTTGTCACAAGAAAATTATTTGTCCCTAGACAATCGAGAACTAGACCGGTAATCATTATTGCAATTTAATATGAGGAAGAGGCATAAGCTAACATAATTTCTCTACTTGGATCATATGCACTTATTATTGGAACTCTAGCAAGCATCTGCAACTACTAAAGATCATTAAGGTAAAACTCAACAATAGCATTATAAAGTATCAAGTCCTCTTTACTTCCGTAAGCAAACAACCTACTTACTCGGGTCTATGCTTCAATCACTCACGCCACCCACCATCATGAGCATATTGCAAACCCTATAGCGGGGATCCCTCGCGCTTGCGCAACACGGAGGGCACCATAGGACATAACCAATAATAAAACGTACAAATCAAACCAATCATGATCATCAATTAACCCATAGGACAAAACGTATCTACTCAAACATCATAGGATAGCCATACATCATTGGGAAATAATATATAGCGTTGAGCACCATGTTTAAGTAGAGATTACAGCAGGGAGAAGAGGTGTTACACCGCTGCATAGAGGGGGAGAGAGTTGGTGATGACGGCGGCGAAGTTGTTGGCTGATGGCCCCGACGGTGTTCCGGCGCCACCGGGAGAGAGGGGGAGAGAGCCCCTCTCCTTATTCTTCCTTGGCCTACCCCCTATATGGGAGGAGGGTTTCCCCTCTGGCCCATGGCTTCCATGGCGGCGGAGGGGCAGGAGCCCCTCCTAGATTGGATCTCTCTCTCTCTCTCTCTCTCTCTCTCTCTCTCTCTCCTTCGGTTTCTACTTTCCCAGATTCTGGCCTTTCACCATTTCTTAAATTCCAAGAGATCCTTAACCCCAATTGGGCTAAAATTTTAGCACGATTTTTATCTGGATATTAGCTTTCTTGCGGCCGGAGAAGGGCACCAACCGCCATACGGGGTGGCCACAAGCTTGCCAGGCACGCCCTGGGTAGGGGGGAGTGCCCCTAGGGCTTGTGGGCCCCTCGGGCATCGTCTCGCGTTGATTCTTTTTCCCAAAAACCACATATATTCCAAAAAGAATCTCCGTAAGTTTTTATTGCGTTTGGATTTTATTTGATATGGATATTCCGTGAAACAAAAAACATGCAACAAACATGAACTGACACTGGATCAATATGTTAGTCCCAAAAATAATATTAAAAGTTGCCAAAAGTATATGAAAGTTGTAGAATATTGGCATGAAACAATCAAAAGTTATAGATACGATGGAGATGTATCAGCATCCCCCAGGTTTATTCATGCTCATTCTTGAGTGGGTAAATGATAAAAAATATAATTTTTGATGTGAATGCTACCTAGCATAATCTTGATCATATAATTTAATCATGGCATAAATATTAAGACACGAGTGATTCAAAGCAATAGTCTATCATTTGACATAAAGACAATAATACTTCAAGCATACTAATAAAGCAATCATGTCTTCTCAAAATAACATGGCCAAAGAAAGTTATCCCTACAAAATTATATAGTCTGGCTATGCTCCATATTCATCACTCAAAGTATTTCATCATGCACAACCCTGATGACAAGACAAGTAATTGTTTCATACTTTTAATGTTCTCAAGCCTTTTCAACTTTCACACAATACATGAGTCAGTACACGTCGGTGCTATACAAACGATTTTTAATCCCTTTCCACGACGGCATTTGGAACCGTCGCCAAGTGAGTGTGGGCGATAGGGGAGTCCTTCCCACACGACCCAGACACCGTCAGGGATAGGCCCTCCTGGCACACAGGCTGGGGCAAAATGACCTCGTGTGCGATCGGGCGAGCATTGAAACCCAATTGTTTCTGTTCGTATGCACATCCCACATGGTGAATCCCAGAAAAAACATTTCCATTCGTATGTATATCACACACAGTCAATGCAAGGAGTACGTTTCTGTTCTTATGTACATCCCGCATAGTCAATCCAGGGAAAACCTTTCCGTTCGTATGTACTTCCCACACAGTCAATCCAGGGAAAACGTTTTCGTTCGTATGTACATCCCACACAGTCAATCCAGGGAAAATGTTTCCGT